CTGTAGGTTATAGAGTCCTAAAGTGATGACATCACAAAAATAAAATTTTTGAAATTATGGGATATGATGTCATATTCTTATAAAGGATCCTAACAGATGCCCTCATCCCAAAAATTAGCTCTGAATTGCAATTCCCGATAGAGATATAAGGAATCAAAGTTTGATAGCATCCCATACAAACCCTTCAAAATTTGTTTCAGTTCCTTCAGTTTAGAACTGACTGAAAATTAGAGAGATTTATATGGGGCAGTACCAAATTTTCATCCTTTATATTTCGGCTGGGAATTACAATTAAGAGGCAATTTTTGGCAAGGACCCTTTTTTAAGGACGCTCCGTTCAAAAATGGCGCCAAATCCCATAATTTCTCAAATTTATTCTTCTGTGACGTCACACTTTAGGACGCTATTTACAATTTTAATTATCAGAATTGATGTTGTCATGGAAATTACCCACATTGTTATTTAATACATGCATACATGTACCACTAACATTTTGAGAAATACACGTACATGTACTGTAAATTAAAAAGACGGCCTGTATGTGTTAGACATATGGGTTATTGACCAAGTGTGAGGTCAAGATGGCTGGATATTGGTCAAGTTCTTTTTTTTGCGAGTTTATGGACCGAGACGCAGTCGAGGTCAATAAACTCGCAAAAAAAGAACGAGGCCAATATCCAGCCATCTTGACTGCACAAGCTTGGTCAATAAAGGATTTATTGTATGGCTTTCAGGGAAATTTTTCTTGCGGGACACGGCGGGTAGTCCCAAGCGGGCAAGATAGCTCCATCTTGCCCGCTCACGGAGCTAGCCATATAATAAGAAGTGTTCTGTTGTTGATTAAAAATAAGTATTTTGACAGACAGCTGGATGTGATGATCCATGAAAATGCAATGTGTGGTCCATTGGAAATTCCAAGGGGAAGGGGTTCTCAAAAGCCAATACTTTTTGAGAGGAAAGTGCACAGCAAAACTAGAATTTCCTGGGAGAATCCAATTTGGGGTGGGGGGGGGGGG